TTAGATAAAGACTTCGAAACACATACACGGCACACATCAACAATTGTCTATCTGTGATTTTTGTGGTGTTTTTGAATTGGAGAACCATCAGAATCAAAATGCTCGGGGATATTTTTTTCCTTCTGGGATTTGTATCCGGAATGTATTCGAGTCGTGTATGTGTATCCTTCTCTCTATGTCATTCAGCAACATGTTTTTAGATACTTGAAATTATAGATAAATTGGATAAAGATAATGCATATTACACACATTGCAATAGGAGGGGAACATGATGAAATCCACGGATAAAAGGAAGAAATGGAGAAACCCAATAAAAACCAGTGATTAAATGAGCCAGGATGTGGGGAAAACTGATGAAACCGAGTGAGAAATGAACAAATAGGTGGGGAAAACTGATTGAAATCTCATGATAAAATCAAGGAATGGTTGGGCAAAAAGATGAACGCCAATGATAAAATGAACAAGTAGTTGGGGAAAACGGGTAAAATCTAGTGACAAGTAGTTGGGAGAAGACTGATGAAAATGAATGGTACAATGAAGACTTTGGTGAGGAAGACTGATGAAATCTAAAAATACAATGAAAGAACGGACAACCAAAACTGATGAGACATCATGGTGAACTCAAGAAATCGGTGGGAAAAACTGATGAATTCCAGTGATAATATGCACCAATAGGTTGGGGAAACTTTTGTGAACTGAAGACAAACTGTAATGATCAACCGGAGAAATAGATTGGGAAAACTTGGGACAGCTGATGAACCAAACAACAAAATGAACAAATAGGTGGGAAACATGCTTTTCTTTGTGATAAACTGATCAAATAGATTTGGAAAACTGATCAAATCCTTTTCATAAAATGATCAAGCAGATGAGGAAAACTGATGAAATCCCCTGGTGAACTAATGGAAAAACGGAGGAAGACTCATCAACATGGACTACAGCATGGAGAAATAAGGTGTGAACACACACACACATATACATATTACATATACATATAAATGCAGTTATATATATATATCCATGGTTTTTGTATTGTTTTGTTCTTATGTTGACTCAATGGTGGTTGTTCCCACGTGTTTTCTCATTTTTCGTTCAGAAACGTTTCTTGTTTTGCTCTTAACTAATTCACATTCCACAAGATTTAAACCATTTGTAAATTATATCCAAAGTATGTTGAAATTGAATCAACATTACTTTAGATTTGATTTTACGAGGATTCCTCAAATTATCCATTAGTTCACCAGGAGATTTCATCCGTTTTCCTCATCTACTTGATCAGTTTATCACAAAAAAAGCATGTTTCCCACCTATTTGTTCATTACATCGTTTGGTCTCATCAGCTGACCCAAGTTTTCCCAATCTATTTCTCCGGTTGATCATTACAGTTTGTCTTCAGTTCACAAAAGTTTCCCCAACCTATTGGTGCATATTATCACTGGAATTCATCAGTTTTTCCCACCGATTTCTTGAGTTCACCATGATGTCTCATCAGTTTTGGTTGTCCGTTCTTTCATTGTATTTTTAGATTTCATCAGTCTTCCTCACCAAAGTCTTCATTGTACCATTCATTTTCATCAGTTTTCTCCCAACTACTTGTCCCTAGATTGAAATCCCAGTTGAATGATTTTGTTGGCTCTCCATTTCAACAGTTAACAAGAATCTCAGATAGAAAATATTTATATTACAGTGCATGTTGTCGTGTTCAACAAATCATTGTTTCTTTGCCTTGTGTTTCATATTTATCATGTGATCTAGAACCCATATGTATATATATATACACATACACCCATACATACACACTAGTTTAGCTATATATATATATACATACATGGTTCTATGATGGTTGTCAATAGAAGTTCCATCCTTATAACTTACAATAGCAACAGAACTAGCAGAGGGCATACAAATGGTCATATATTATTACTACTATTTTTATTATTATTATTTTAATTATTTTTATTATTCTATTCCTTTTTTAAACTTATTTATCATTGCACCTACACAGTATATATAAAACTGTATAGTATAGAAATATAAAGGTATAAAAATGTCGGAACAACAAAAAATATATTTCGTAGTTTTTGTACACTTTTATTTTTCTATCTGCAAGATTTTGAAAAGGGCAAAAAGGGTATTAAAAAAACGTTCTATCTCTATCAAATTTACCCCTAAATCGAGGTTTCGCATATATATATATATATATTATACGCGAAATGTACCCGGGGAGGACTTGACAACTAAGTTACAACTTTGTCTTGATGAAAATGTCAAATTACGTATATATATATATGGTTTCGTGATGTTTTAGTCATGTTTTCACTGTAATTTTCTATCTGCAAGATTTTTTTTGTCAAAATCGCACAAAACCATATATATATATATACACGTAGAATTGAGTTTTTCCTTAAAATGTTCCGTCTGCAAGATCGTGAAAAAGCCGTTCTATCTGTTGTTTTTACAACTCGTAGCGCTTTTTGAATTTTCTATGTGCAAGATCGTGACTAAAATCAAAATTTACCACCAATACCCGAAGACGATGAACTTGATTAATGCAGGGGTTGGCCTGGAATCTCCGATGAAGGCGGAAACATGCCTGAGGGAGCCGATGCCACGGAGGAACTCGCCGAGGCAGCATAAGTTCCAGCCAGGTCGGATAGACGGAGATCGAGCGCCGCCCCTCGTGCTGAGAGAAAGGTGAGACGTACCTCGCCTCGAGACTCAGCCTGAGAGCGAGCGAGGATCATCTCCTCAGCATTCTCCAGACGTGAATCCACCAATTCAGCGGAGAGAGCTCCTGCTGAAGCAGCGCAACCACACCAGCCTCAACCTGCCCGGCCACAGGCTTGGCCTAATCCTTATGACAGTCTTAGTGACCTTCCAGCGTCCTTGAGGAATCATTTTGAGCGAGCTCGAAATGAGGCCGCACAATGGGCTGTGGAGCAGGAGGTTGAGGAATCCACAGCCCTGTTTGGCGCGCAACCCAGGCTAATGACCCGGTCACCGACCTAAGTCATGTGATGTCATCACCTGAAATCTTTCTTCTCGCTACCCGGACGACCTGCGTCAATGGAAATTGGTCTGATCTTCCTTGTGTTGTCGACGGTGTCCGCATAGATACATCCCCATCTCCTGAGCGAGAAAACTGTTTTCCGCAGTATCTGAAGTCGCTCATCTCGGTGCTACCGATAGTGAACTTGTTCAGGAAACGCTCAATGACTTCTTTACCCTCAGGCAAGTAGCAGTATAAGAGATCATCTACGTGAGTGCACATTAGCTCACAGGCATCACCGTCGCTTCCTGGAAGGTAGAAAAGCTTGGGAAAAATTGCGATGCTTTCATGCCTTCCTTCTTCGCATCTCCATCCAGTCGCAGCCAGAACCCGCATCCTGAATCGGTGAGCCCGTATATCGGTACCCTTACAAGAGAGACAACTCCGTCTTCAATCCCCGGAATGCCTCCTCGCGGCTGCCGCATGAGGAGCACACGGTCCAACGGCCGTCCCTGAAAATAGGCTGATGTTGCATCGGCTGAGTGCAGGTCAAGTTCATGAGCTGCGCGCCAGCAGCAGATAAGATTTTGAACCTCAATTAGACAGCTGTCGTGGATCCCGGCCTTTCTTGCGCTGAGCTTTGTCAACATCCACCCACTTGGATAGTATGATCTGATGTCCTTGAGTGACAAGTTCTTGGACCTGATTCGGAGTCAGTGGCACAACTGCTCCAAGACTTTCGAATTTTGACCATTCCTGGGCTCGAGAAGTTTGCAATGCTTTTTAGACCTCAGGTGGTGCTGGCTCATATAGTGAATGCTTTCCAAAACCTTCTTGCCTTCCTCTGCAATTTCGTCCTTTCCTGCCCGGGTTAGTCGCCTACAGTCTTCGATCAAGAGCGCTACAGTTACCACTCTATGTGACGCGAACACAGTTGCACAACTTGCTCACAAGGGTTAAGTGAGACTTCGTTTTCCATGTGGACATCTCAAATGGGATGAGGTCGGATTGATCACGATCACCGACGCTTCTTTCTCCAACGAACAGAACTATCGCTCTCAACAGGGACGTTGTCACTTCCTTGCGGATCTCACCAAGATCAAGAGTAGTAACTGCAACACGTACAGGGTAGTGCCTTTGTCCTTCAGTTCTTCTACGATCCGACGTGTATGTCGAAGCACACTTCAAGCTGCAGAGACGTATTCACTGCAGTATGGTCTCGAGGCGGGAGACAAGCTCAGAGGAGTTTAAGCTGAAATCAAAGGTCAGATCAGGTCCCTGAAGACTTGGGAAGTGGATGCCAGAAGCTGTGTGTCGCATTTAGCATTCACAGACTGCCGTTCTCTTACAAGAGAGTGGGCATCAAATTGCAGAGCATACACGAGTCCTATTGGACCGATGATCAGAAGACATGGGATGTCTACCCAAATGGGGGAGACAAACTATCTTGTATAGCTACCCACACCATGATCAGTGACTGCCTCACGAAGAGTATGAAACCGGATTGCATGATCCGCGTGCTGGCAGAGTGCATGTACAAAGTACAGAAGCAGTAGAAACGTCACTGCGCTACTTTCGTCGCAGTGCCCTATGCAGACAGACGTGTCTGTAAAGAGTGCAATGTGACACCTGTAGAACAGCTTGGGTGTCAATTTGAGGTATTTGACATTCCATGTATAGGCCAGGTTGTCACATTAGACGTCAAATCTTGCCGTTTTCGGCAAATTGGGCCTTTGAGCTGTACGGCTGACCATCAGTGTAAAAGCTGCGTGGGCTTCACGATCCCTTTGCCAATTCACAATATTCATGTTGGGGTGTTCATTCGGGTACTTATTCCAAGCATGATGGCTACAAATGATTTTCAACATTTTTGGGCCGGTGCGCAATACAGATGGCTCAATAAAATCAAAAATTGGTTTTATGGTTCCAGGAACAGTTCCCGGGTGTTTGTTGAAGTTGCCATAGTTGCCTTGGTGACCTTGGTGCTTCATGTGATCCATGCTTCCGGCAGGAATCAAGCGCTTGCTCAACATTTTGAAGCGGAGAAATGAGAAGATTGACGAGAAGCAAAAGCTGATCGATGGATGCACAGTTGTGAATAAGGAATCCTCTGATACAGCCAATGCAGGTTTGACTCGGACAGAATACAAAGAAGATGATTTTACTTTGGGAAACTTCAGAAACGTCATTACAAGCTTGTATTCTGAACACGAATCGAGAGATCGACGGTGGGCACTCACAACTTCAGATATTTCAGCACGCGACCAACAGGACGGAGTCAGCCTTGCCGACTGTGGTTGCACTGATTTCATTTTGGGGCGGCTAGCGTGCATCGTTTTGGGAGGTTCGACCAATTGCGAGGTTCCCAAATCCCAACAGAGCGACTACGATGAAGTGTTTACCTTGGAGTGCCAAGCTGGCTGGGCTGTGTCCTTTCTTCAAGGCCTCGACTACGACAATGGAAAGGGAGATAGACTCTTTCAAGGTGGTTGCACAAAAATTGAAGGCCTGAAGTCGGGCCAAAAGGAAGGCACACGTGAGTGGTCCGAATATCAGAACGAATTCGACCAGTCGGAGTTTACCTGGGGTGCAACTGCAAAAGGACTGATTGAATCAGTGTGAATTTGCATCGCTTTGCTTGCCAATGAGTTCACGATAGTTTGCTTGGATAGATTTGAACCATTTAGATGGTTTAGTTTGTTGACATTCCAGGCCATTCGTGTGTCAGCACGGGCAAAACTCAATTTCAGAAGTATTTACACATGTTCCATTGTTTTGGAGCTTGTCAGAATTTGCCAGAATGTGTCAGATGTCAGATGTCAGGACAATTCCTGGTGGGAATCAGTTCCTACCACAACAACAAGAAGGAGGACCGCAGGTGGCGCTTCCAAACGGTGAGCTTTTGCAGAGACCGCCAGGCCCGCCGGACTCAAAGGACTCAACAAACTCAAGGGGCTCGAGGGGTGAATGCAGGCAGTAGAAATCATTAGAATATTTTCGAACATATGAGAATCATTAAGGATCATTAAGGTGTCAGACACGGTCTTAGGGTCGTTCCCTCGAATCAAAGCGACCTCGACTGAACTTCAGATAAAATTGCATCATGTGGCATCACCTTGGCATCCTCCATGCCTTCAGCTTGTGGCATCGTATTTGTTGTGGGCGCGAGATTTTCGAGTTTTTATGCGCGGTGTTTTTCTTGTATCCTTTGGGAATAAAGCAGGGCTATGGTCACATTGTGATGCATCGTTAAAAGGATGGCTGTTTTTGGGGTTGTCTTTTTTCCTTTCAGGATCCTTTTCTATTATTTGTTTCCGTGCTTCCTCTTGTCGCTCAATCCTCTACAACCTAAATCCACCCAAACCCCAAACCAGCTCCCGAAACAAACGAAAGCAACCTTAAGCCTGAAACACACCCTAAATAAATCTACAATATGTATTTGCACATGCCCAGAAAACACCCTGTAATACAGCATTGCTTACTAGCGTTGCAGCACAGGACAAAAAGTAGCTTGAGTCGCTTGTTTAACGGTTTCCCCCACTACGTTTATCAGTCTATTTGGGATTACTTTGATAACCCTTGCTGAGACCTGAAAATACAGGTTATCAGGCATAGTCTCTACTACAGCCATGGAGAGATCAAGGGGTGATGGGTCCAATTCTGGAGGTTCTATTGTTCCTGCAACAAATTCAGTGGTCCCGGCAACGGATGTTCCAGCCACAAACCCGACTGGGATAAATCCCACGCCTATGACTGTGTATGAAGGAAATTTCTATCAACCGTTCAGGCGTATTTCCACTTTGTACAAAACAATCTCATGTACCTGGATGAGAGCAACATTGATCATCTTAGGCAGGAAGCTGAGGAAAGGCATAGCCAGATCACGGAGCAAACGGTCCAGCAACTGTGCAGTGACTACGAACACCGTAGCTTACATGTTCAACATGTTTGTGCCAATGAGCTTGCCCAGCAACCTGCAGAAGCAGACATGCGCCATGAACACCTCGCATCAGAACTTTCCAGCTACATGGTTTCTCGAACAGTAGCCGAACAGGAGATTTTGAACCCAAAAGAACGCAGCGAGGCGAATGCTAAGCTGAAGAGCGCTGCAAATGCCGTAGCATTGGAGGCAGAGAAAAGGGCAAATCAAAAGATTTCTCATGTCGCCAAGCAATACGAAAGGAGGTATGTAGAACTCAAGAGTGTGAAAGATGTGTGTGAAGAAGAGGAGGCGGCGGGAGGCGGGAGGAGGCGGGGAGGCGGGAGGAGGCGGGGAGGCGGGAGGAGGCGGGGAAGAACCCGGGATACAGAATCAAGAACAAGAACCCCACACAAAGATGTGGGGAAAAAATGGTTTGTTCATGTTTGTTCAACCATTGGAACTACGACATGCTATGTTTTGACGCCTTCAGCATCCTTTGGGAACCTTCGCGTGATACTGGCAGAATGGCTTAGCGCCCTTGGACCAACGGTATCCTAAGAGATATTTCAAGACTTGAACTCCTGAATCGAGCTTATCAAGCACCCCAACTCCTGAATCAAGCCGGTTACTTGGTCTGCTGCTGCTGCTGCTGTTGTTGCTTGTGCTGCTGCTTCTGAATTAGTCCACTTTGACCGTCGGTGGGCCAATAGGATTTCCACCTGGCGGAAGATTATTGATGTCTGGGGTAAGCGGTGTGCCATGCGGCTGGCGCAAGTTCTACTAAATGGCGTAGGATCACGCCGGGGCTCGGGTCAGGGATGCTTTGCACGACTTTGGGAAAACCACCAGAAACATGCCTTCAGACTATTATTATTCAGACATTTGGGAGACATGTGTAGATAAGCAAGCGTCCACATGGTGTTTAACACCCGTGGATATATTTTTTAAAGATTGTGGGACATAACTGTGCACACGCGTCCTGATGGGGATTTGGAAAATTTGGCAATAGAAAAGTGCACTGCCAGGGATCTAAAAATAAGACTTTACATAGTGCGCCCCATGGTGTTTTAGACTTGGTTGCATTGACTTGTTTGATTTCCTGAACGCGCGGCGTCCCATGCAGTTTTTACCTTGGTTCCACATATGCACTGACTTTTTCTGACTTTCACGTCCCAGAGTACCAACCCCAACTCCTGAAACAGCAGGGTGGACAACTAGACACACCCCACAGCTAAAACAGCACGTTACGACCGGAGGTCGCTTTTGTGTAGGTGCAGTATGTATGTCAGTTTGGATGCAAGAGTCGTGACTGTGACTTCAAAGCTGTCGTCCAACGTGCGTGTTTGAAAGAAGAAATCATGCAAACAAATTTCGAACTGACATCTTCAACTTGGATATCGATGATTTAGGAAGCATGTTGCAAAAGAATTGCAAAAGAGGGAATTGATTCGATGCTTGCATTGCCATTTTTGAAGGAGGTCGCACAAAGAAGCTTCATTGAAAATGTTCTCCTGGGTCCTATGCTCTACTTTTGAATGAAGTCTCGCAACACAGTTTCGGTTTTGTATTTTAAACTTCCCAAAAAACTGTCTTTCAGAAAACTTCATTTACTCATCTTTACCCTCCAGCTCTCAAGCCAGTTTGGCCGATAGGGTAGAGGGGTAAAATAGATTGATCAACAAAAACGTGGAGAGAAAGAAAGACTACAAAGTATGTTATTAGGTGCGCAGATGGAAGGATAGACAGAACGGTCGATAAATAGGCAGCTAGGTAGATGAATCGATTGACAAAGACGTAAAGAAAAATAGGTGGAAAGGGTTTTCATTGGCTTATGTGACATACATTGATTTATCCACCCAGCACTGCTTCGGACAGACGTGCTTGAATGCATCCACTAGAGGCAGTCCATTTCCTATAGCCAGAAAATGCCCTATCCTGGGAAACCTCCGGCCTGCCTCATGCGGACACTATGTTAGTCAGACTTTCCAATAAGTGTTTCCACTCGGGCTGGTACTGGAGGATTGAAAGCATGGGAAGAAACGGGAACACATATCTTTCGCCATCTTTCGCCTAATGTGCAGCATTTCTGCACTGTTGCAATTCCACGTTCCAGCTTTGCATGGGCTTCTACCCATGAATTTTTAGTCAATGCAAGTGGGAAACTTGATATTGCATCCAAAGCTTCAATTTCAATACACCAACGGATCACAGCCAGGATGACATTGATCAGCTGACGAGAGAAATTGAGTCATTGGAACAGCAGATTGAGGCATCCGGAGGGACATAGGGCATGCCAAATTGAGTCACAGTCCACCTGCACTAAACGCAAAAAACAGTTCGTGTTGAAGAAGTAAACCAACATCACCTTCACATCTCACTATGAAAGTGGTGATTTTGTCGTATTTCCCCCAAGGGAATGAGAGTTCTAATTTGGTTGTCTCTTTCTTGTCTGAACCCATTCACTACTGATCGTAGATTGGATTGGATTCTGATAATTTACTTTTCCACTACAACGACGCGCTCTCAAGATTCTCCAGCCTTTTGCGCCCTGCATCCTGGATGGACATTCAATGGGCATTGAAAAATGGAAACCCTGACTCGAATGATCCACTATGTAGCCTTAGGGGGGCCTATGTTTGCTATGCAATCTACTTATACAGGGTGCGTTTACAGTGTTTACTGCATGTATCCGCATATTATTTGTGAAATGTTTGCACGTTGCCATCATTGACTATCGTTAATGCTGCGCTTATATCATCGCTGCGCTCGACCTGTGAGGACCTCTCTGCACAGTCAACCTCATGTGCCACTGAGATGCCCTTTGCAGTGGAGGATGTGCGAAATCTTCGTGTGGATTTTGATGACGCCAACGCAGATGTTACGACCAAAGTCCTTTGCTTGGAGATATCATGAGATATCATGAGGATGCATGAAGTATCATGAAGTACTTTGCTTTGCTTCTTTAGAGCAATGTTGTTTTTCCAGTTCTTGGGCTGAGTGCTTGGAGTGCAGCACGAGACAGCCGGCAAAGAAGAAGTTGCAAGCCAGGTCGCCGGGGTTTAGCTTGGCAGTGAAGGACACCGGAACCAATAATAATATGATCCAATCAACCCTCGAACCAGCACAATGCCGAAACGTTACACAGTATGCTGTGGAAAGTATCAATACTAAGTAGCACCAGCAAACTATTGCAAGCATTTGCAAGCCACAATTTAAAAGGCCTAGGCTTCCCATTCTGAGCATCAACACTCACAAGTGACACGTTGAAGCGGTCCTGCGAAGCTGGATACTGTATGAAAATCCTTCCCGGTAATACATCAGTGAACCCTTGTTAAGTGTCCACCTTGGATTCCGAACATTTGCACTTCCCAAGACTTCCCAAGACTTCCAGTGTCACCCTCGGTTTTCTCCCCAAAGTCGTTCTCCCTCTCCCACGTCTCTTGGGGCTTTCAGGCTTCCACTCTGAAGCCAGCTTTGCAGGGTTCTAAGGAACAAAAAATCCGCGAAAATATGTTGGGTCAAACAGAGTGTAAAATCGAAGCTTCTTGCTGCGACTGAAGCAATGACAAGTGAAGTTAGTTGTCTACGGGCCACATTATGGCTTTTCTGACAATGTCCATACACTGTGACCACATAGCCAATCGCTAAACATCTGATAGACATGAGTAAACACTAGAAAAGTGTTGGTCAAACAGTGGAGAAAGAATTGGTGTAAGACAATGGAAAAACCATGAACCAACGATGAACAAAGAGCAGAAAAGTGCAACCAATGGATCAAGCAATCAAACTAAGAATGGATGAAGAATGAACAAACATGAACAAACCATCACAGTGGACAGCGACCGGAGAAGCACTGGAGAAACACTGTAGTGACTAGTCGGGCATGCATCCTTAGCGCAAAGGAGGAGTGAATGCGATTCGCAAAGCCAACATAGAAAAAAGGAAAAGCCCCAAGGACAAAGGATACATAGGGGACGTTGCCAAGATCAACCCGTGAGTATGACTGCGGCTGCTACGGTTTGTTCAGACGCATATATGTATTTTGTGAAGTTTTGATGGTGGAAAACAAAATATGTCAAAATGCTTGCCCTGCTGTGTCACAGCACAGCTGGTTAAAGATCTGTTTAGTAGTTTGAAAGTGCAGCTTCATGTTTTGCGCATGTCGTTTTGAAGACATGATACATGTGTGTCTCGATTTCATGAGACATGCCCTCTAAAAAGACACACATGAGAAACACTAGAATCACAGGCCTTCAGCATGTCCTTCACATGTGTTTTAGATTTTACTCTCCAAAAGAATAACATAGAACAGAAAAAAAAACTTTTGAGGTTCCATGTTAAGACGTCGTTTTTTTGCACGTTTGTTCCATGTTAAGGTCAAAACGCGCAAAAAAATGCTTTCGCACGCTAACATAGAACAAGGTGGGGTGAACGTTCTATGTACCAAAAAATGACCACAAAAATTTAACATGGACCAAAAATTAGCCAATCCTACATTAACATGGAACAATTTCAGGTATTTTGATATTTTCTTAAATTTTTGAAGGTGAAAATTGGCCCCGCAATCATTAACATAGACCCTGTTATGGAAAAACCATTTTTTCCCGCCACGTTCCATGTTAAAAATTGTGGGGCTCTGGAGGGGCATCTTCGGATGTGAGAATTGGCCCCATAATCTTTAACATGGAAGCTGTTATGGAAAAACATTTTTTTCCTGCCATCTTCCATGTTAAAAATTGCGGAGCTCTGGAGGGACATCATCGAAGGTGAGAATTGGCCCCCGCAATCATTAACACAGACGCTGTTATGGAAAAAAATGCATATTTTTGCCGAAATCGTCCATGTTAAAAGTTGTGGAATTCTGGAGGACATATTCGAAGGTGAAAAGTTGGCCCCTTATTCGTTAACATAGACCCTGTTATTTTTAATTGTCTTTTCCTTTTTTCTTTATTTTTCATTATTTTTCATTGCCCAAACCACCGGTGGGGATCTTGGGGTCCAACGGCTCAGTCCTGACTCATCTTGGGAACATGCGAACCCGTTGTTGGGTCGAAGTCCTCGAGCCCGGGCTCTGTAGCCCGCCTTCCCCAACTCCGAGTCGCCGTCCCCAGCTCTGAAATATCATTGTTTTCTTGTTTTCCTTGTTTTCTTTATTCCTTCATTCTTTTTACACTGACCTAAAAGTAGATGGCTCAACTCAAAAACCAAAATACCCACAAGATGGCACCGCGAGGTGAGAAAGAAAACGGCGCTATTTTACCTGGAACATAAAACGAGTTCCGCCAATTCCCAAGACAGGAGGCAAAACCACCAGGAAAGACATCAGAGTTGTCCCAAGACAGGAGGCAAAACCAGTAGGAGGCAAAACCAGTAGGAAAGACATCAGAGTTATCCCAAGACAGGAGGCAAAACCACCAGGAAAGACATCAGAGTTATCCCAAGACAGGAGGCAAAACCACCAGGAAAGACATCAGAGTTATCCCAAGACAGGAGGCAAAACCACAAGGAAAGACATCAGAGTTATCCCAAGGCAGGAGGCAAAACCACCAGGAAAGACATCAGAGTTATCCCAAGGCAGGAGGCAAAACCACCAGGAAAGACATCAGGGTTATCCCAAGACAGGAGGCAAAACCACCAGGAAAGACATCAGAGTTATCCCAAGACAGGAGGCAAAACCACCAGGAAAGACATCAGAGTTTTCCCAAGACAGGAGGCAAAACCACCAGGAAAGACATCAGAGTTATCCCAAGACGGGAGGCAAAACCAGTTGGAAAGACATCAGAGTTATCCCAAGACAGGAGGCAAAACCACCAGGAAAGACATCAGAGCTACCCCAAGACAGGAGGCAAAACCACCAGGAAAGACATCAGAGTTATCCCAAGACAGGAGGCAAAACCACAAGGAAAGACATCAGAGTCGTCCTAGGACAGGAGGCAAAACCAGTAGGAAAGACATCAGATTTATCCCAAGACAGGACGCAAAACCAGTCGGAGGCAAAACCAGTAGGAAAGACATCAGAGTTTTCCCAAGACAGGAGGCAAAACCACCAGGAAAGACATCAGAGTTATCCCAAGGCGGGAGGCAAAACCACCAGGAAAGACATCAGAGTTATCCCAAGACAAGAGGCAAAACCACCAGGAAAGACATCAGAGTTATCCCAAGACAGGAGGCAAAACCACCAGGAAAGACATCAGAGTTATCCCAAGACAGGAGGCAAAACCACCAGGAAAGACATCAGAGTTATCCCAAGACAGGAGGCAAAACCACAAGGAAAGACATCAGAGTTTTCCTAGGACAGGAGGCAAAACCAGTTGGAAAGACATCAGAGTTATCCCAGGACAGGAGGCAAAACCACCAGGAAAGACATCAGAGTTATCCCAAGACAGGAGTCAAAACCACCAGGAAAGACATCAGAGTTATCCCAAGACAGGAGGCAAAACCACCAGGACTCAGACGATAGGCCCCCACAAAGAGTGTTTGGGGACCTATCGTTGTAGCACCCCGGATCTTTTTTTTTCGTTTGTTTGGTGAAAATATGTTGACAGATGACATTTCTATCAAAATATATCGTGTCTAACCCTAAACCCTACATCCGTTGGAAAAAAATAAGAAAATACCCCCCTACAGAATAACATAGACGAAAAAAAACTTTTGGAGTTCCGTGTCAAGACGTCATGTTTTTTTGAGGCGTGTTCCATGTTAATGTCAAAACGCGCAAAAAATGCTTTCGCACGCTAAATGTGGTAAAACTCAAAAACACCCAAAAATGACCCTAAAAAACTTTCATTATTTAACACGGACCGCATGTTAGCCAATCCTACATTAACATAACCCAATTTCAGGTATTTTTATTTTTCTGCCATTTTTGAAGGTGAAAATTGGTCCCATAATCTTTAACATGGAAACTGTTATGGAAAAAAACATTTTTCCTGCCATCGTCCATGTTAAAACCAGTGATGGTCTGGAGGACATCTTCGATTTTGAGAATTGGCCCCGCAATCATTGAGATAGACGCTGTTATGGAAAAACAATTTTTTCCCGCCATCGTCCATGTTAACAATTGTGGAGGGGCCCGTAGGTGAGCATATTGTATGCCCCACTTCCATCTTAACAAAAAAACAGTTGAAAAATCAATGGACATGATGTAACATTCAGTCCAAAACCGCACAGATGTCAATAAAAAAATCAGAAAAAACATATCAAAACCAGAACAAATCAATGAATAATAATAAAAAAACATATCAAAACAAATGAAAACATGAAAGAACATTATCAAAACATGTAAAGCGCATTGAACAAATCAATGGAAAATGACGAAACGCGAGTAAAAACCAATCAAACATAAATGAAACATGATGAAAAACAAATTAGTAATCTTGACAGTCCATGGAACATACATTCATCAAGCGCTCAAACAGTAGAGGGCGGACAGCACAATTCACCACAGAAACCTTAACATGGAACAAAAAATGTTCTTTTGGGATAATTGTGTGTATCCTCCTAATTACCTCTCTTGGCACCAAACACCCCAGGAACGTCAACATGGAACAAAGCAAAAAAACAGTTTTTTTTTGGGTGAGTAGTTTGTATCCCCCTACCTTTCTTGGCACCAGCAAACCCAGAAACGTTAACATGGAACAAAACATTAAAAAAAATTAGAGTACTTTTCTTGGCACCAGCCATCCCAGAAGACATGGACCCTTGCACTAGCCACCCTAGGCCATACTGACGTCCCTTGGGTGGCTAGTGCCAGGGTCCATGTCTTCTGGCCGCAAAATGAGATCCCGCCCAAATTCCAAAATGGTTTGCTGGTGCCAAGAAAGGTAGGGGGATACAAGCTAATCACCCATTTTTTTTTTGCTTTGTTCCATGTTGACGTTAGTGCCAAGAAAAGTAATTAGGAGGATACGCACAATTATCCCAAAAGATTTTTTTTTGTTCCATGTTAAGGTTTCTGTGGTGAATTGTGTTGTCCGCCCTCTACTGTTTGAGGGTTTGATGAATGAATGTTCCCTGGAAGCAAGATCCACGTTTTCTGGGGGGGGCAGTTTTTTCCTGGCCAAAATGTTACAAATGAGTACTTTTAAGAACAGTCTTTAACAAGAAAAATCACACAATCATTTTGGAATTTGGGCGGGATCTCATTTTGGGGCCAGAAGACATTTCCAGTTAACTTTGTTTTAACATGGAACAAAAACAAGGTTTGAGAAAGGACCCCTCCAGGAGTTCTATGTTAAACAATCGTGTGGCACCCCCTGGCAACTACTAACATGGAACATTTTTTTAATGGTTAGTAAATTAACATGGAACGATTTCGGGGTGCAGCCAACATAGGTCGGGGTCATTTTCAGAAAAAAATGGCTCCCGTCACAATTGACTTTTGTTCCATGTTAACCTTCCCGGGGTCATTTTTGTACCATTTATTTGTTCCATGTTAAATTTCTAAAAACCTCGGTTTTTTGTTCCATGTTATTCTTAAGGAGTGTAGATCTTGTGTTGAAAGTTATTGCGCCAAGGCCAGTACGAATTGCAGGATCTTGCATCGCGGGGAACCAGCAGCAGCAGACAATCAAGATGCTCGGAGAACAGAGAAGACTTTATGTTGACTCAGAATGAAAAATGAAGAGAATTTAGCGTGATAGAACAGAACCGGATGTATTTCTGGGAGAATGCGGTCAATATCAACTGTCGGATACAGTATTTGGATAATCCTGTCTTTTGCAATGTTGTAGAACAAGACCTTCAGATCTGTTTGCAGATTGTCGCAAGGTTCTGCGCTTAGAGAGGACTACTTTGACGACAATGTGATAGGATTTGCTGCTTTCCAACATATGCCAACATGTGACATGCATGATTGACAGGTTCAATGTCTGGCATCACAAAAAAGAGGACAGCAAAAAGTCAACGCCGTGGAAGCAAGCAGGAAAGGGTGACCAGGACGAGCAGGAAGCAGTGTCTGAGGGCCAGTTGTTCCAGCAATACCAACCACAACCATATACTTACAACAACTTGATCCACTCAAACGCGACAAACTGCTGCAACATGCTGCAACAATGTAGTACTTGTAGCAATTTAGCAAAATTTGGCAATGCTTACGAGCCTTTCTCAGTTCTGATTCCATGGGAAAACAGTGCGGCGAATCTTTCGCGACGACAAACCACCAACAGTTCTTTTCGTCCTCGTGCTCCTCCCTGCGATTGACATTACGAACTCAGCTAGTTCCTAGTTTTTGTATGTTTTTGTTGTTGGAAACCTGCTCAATCCTGCTTTCCATGCCCCATCCGATCTTTCTTAGGTTTGCCACTACCCACGAAGTTGGACATGATACGTGCATGTGTGTGTGTGTGGGGGGCGGTCCTGCATGGCGTTGCAGTGATTGTTGCTGAGTAGCACGAAGTTCGGCGAACAAGCAACAGCCCTGTCAATCGCATAAAGTGTAATAGACCGCAATGGTAAGCGCAAACGAACTCGCAAAGAAAATCGCCTGCAACCCGTGACAAGTTTTTTTGCTGAATTTCTGCGAGGAACCCTACATGCTCACTGCGCAACAGATGGCGGGCTTGGTTCGGAATTCGCGATATCACATTGTCTCCTCCAGCGAGTACAGCAAGGAGATTTGGTCTGTTGGACCTCGGTGGTAATTGCTCAAAATGCTTTTAAGATTTGGATAATTATTCAAGACCAAATCCAAATCCAGCGATGCAGAACGCCCCAAGAAGGATCAACGCACCTGGCTCAGTGATTGTGCCATGTAGCCATGTTTGTTTATCAGGGTACTGGCTCGTCACCTGTACTATGCGCGTTTGGGAGGAACTGTGTGACTGGCAGTCCTTGTGGTATGTCAAAACATCAGCTATTTCCAATGCATCAGACACTAAAACAACCTTGTGTCTTTTTGTTGAGCTGTCGGCTTTAATATCAGCCAATCCAGCCTGTGATTGCCCATTCTGTTCTGCAGGATCCCTTCAACCTCCTCACGGACACGCCACAGACCGCTGCAGACATCGGTTGGTTTTCCGAAATCGATGCGGGCGCAGCGCTGTGGGGCATTGGATGCTCACCCGGAGCTGTGGTGGCCGTCCATTGGCAAAGATGGCAATCGTTGGTAGGTTTTTGAAAAGAAGATATGGGGCCTGAGAACCCAAACGGGAATCCATTTGAACGCATGGAAAAGTGTACTTGTGAAAATCTATTGTATCCGGCCCCATAAATTGCGACTTGAAAATTGTCGAGGTTCAGGATTTCTGTGGTTTTGGTCTTGGGTTGTATGCAAAGCACCAAAACGATCCCCGTTGAAATTTCCACTACAAAAAGCTAGGCCTTGAGGCCTGTACAAAAGATGATGGATCAAGCAGCGGCCATTGCTATTTTCCACGCTCACAGGATGGGTGCCGCGAGCACTGTGCAAGCTGTCGCACAGTGATTTGAGATCGAAATGGGAATATGATACCGACATGGTTCTACAGTCAAAGCAACTGCCATCAATTCAACACTAGGGCGCCGGGAAGCGTTTAAGGGCAGCCTACTGCCTAACGTTGCTTTCTGAAACCAGACGAAAATTTCCAGGAAAGCGCCCGGCAGGTGGCGAAAGGACATGCTGCTGGGCCGCCAAGGGCGCCGGGAAGGGTTTAAGGGCAGCCTAGGGCGCCGGGAAGCGTTTAAGGGCAGTTGCTTTCTGACAGAAGAAAATCTCCAGGAAAGCGCCCGGCAGGTGGCCAAAGGACATGCTGCTGGGCCGCCAAGGGCGCCCGGAAGGGTTTCAGGGCAGTTTAGGGCGCCGGGAAGCGTTTAAGGGCAGCCTACTGCCTAACGTCGCTTTCTGAAACGAAGAGAAAATCTCAAGGAAAGCGTCCGGCAGGTGGCCAAAGGACATGCTGCTCGACCGCCAAGGAAAAGCACCCGGCAGGTGGCCAAAGGACATGCTGCTGGGCCGCCAAGGGCGCCGCAAAGCCACTTTTTCTCGGGCGCGCTCCCCCTGCAGATGGCTGGGGTCGGCGGATTTCGCTTTCTGTTTTGCACGCTGGACCTCAGAAGTTGGCTGACTGAGATTTTACGACTATGTCCTCGAATCAACAAACGTTCCGCCACTGCTTTTTGATATCAATCAGCCCCAAGGGGAATGAAATATACGTTGTTTTTGAGGTTGTGCAAAATGATAATTACATTTTTCCCCACCTGCCAGGTGAGGGTTGTTAGATTTTATCAGAGTTGTTCTTCTCCTTCTCCTCCTCTTCCTCCTCGTCCTCCTCCTTCTCCTCCACCACCTCTGCCTCCACTTCCATGTTCACTTCCGCCTTGCCAACTCTTCGCCAAGCTCTTCGCCAACTTCCGCACGCAGTGGGCACTGCTGGACCTCAACTGCAAGGGTCTGAGCGCCTGGGCATCGCTGGACCTCAACCTGGGACCTTCCGAGCTCAGTGAGCACCGCTGGACCTCAACCTGGGACGGTCCGAGCTCAGTGAGCACCGCTGGACCTCAACCTGGGACCCTCCAGAACATATGCCAGAAGATATGCCAGATAGAATGGAAGAAGGTATGCCAGATAGAATGCCAGAAGATATACCAGATAAAATGCTAGAGATAAAGTGCCAGAATGTTTGCCAGATAGAACGCCAGAAGCTTTGCCAGATAGAATGCCAGATAGAATGTCAGAAGATATGCCAGAAGATATGCCAGATAGAGTGCCAGAAGATATGCCAGAACTATCCAGAACATATTGCAGAAGATATGCCAGGTAGAATGCCAGAAGATATGCAGATAGAATGCCGGAAGATATGCCAGATAAAATGCCAGATGATATGTCAGATAGAATGCCAGAAGATTTGCCAGTAACAAAACGTATAGATGTCATGGTGGGGATAACTCGAAGTAAAGTAATTTGGTTGTTCAAGATTTAGATTTTTCAGCAACCCTGGAGACCTTGGTGAACAACCCGGAACCACCCGTAGACAGTCAGCCCTACAGCGTTAGCAAGAGAATACCCAAGACCACTGCAGCCATCAGTTTGGGCCTTGAGAACGTACATTTTAGGGGGCTGCAGATTTCAGGCATTCAATGCCCACAACATTACTGGAGCCCAGTACAGAACCAGCAGCCATACGAGTGCCAGAGTCACCATCGCGGTCCACAACCACGCATACCACGCCCTGTTTTTACCATATCGATACACGGCAGCAATACTATGGCACCCGCGTCCACGGCAATCTTTGCGGCCCCCCTTAAGGGTACATTTCGGCCAGACTTCCATGGACATTCGGGTTCGCCCGTGCTCGTGGTTGAGCCAAGATGCCCAAACGATCTCAAATGTAATGCTGCAAAGCCGGTGTGCTTGCCACCGTTATTCAAAGTTATTGGGACGTCAGAGCACGGGAAAAAAGATAGTGAAACCGGCCAACGGGAATAAAACCAATACAAAAAGTCGTGGGGAGGCAAGGGGCGAAAAATGTACATCGTGAAACCAACAATGCCACTAGCGGTTCAGAGTCAAGGAGACAATCCCCAAGAGGCGCATGAAAAGGCTTTCGCGCACATGTAAGGGTGAAGGTCGCTCGTATGTACATGTCAACTCAGAAGTCTGAAAATGCTGGTGCGTTGCATGCGGGCTTAGATTTTTGCGGGCAGGTGAGCCGTGGACCTAAATACACCTTCCCGACCGACACCACCAACACCAGCAACAGTCACATTACAGACGACACCGTCCACCACTCCCGCCCCGCTCCCCCAACGTTGCCCGCCGCCGCCAACACCCGCAACAGCAGCACCACACCTCCTTATATATCTTGTACCTCAACATCAGCGACAGCACCACAAGCGCCTCCTGCCCCTCTTCTTTGGCTGCCCCCAACACGAGCCGCTTGCCTTTTCTCACCCCTTTCACGTTCTCCCATCCCTCACCGGCCGCCCTTTTCCGCGCTTCTCTTGCCCCCACTGCCCCCACCCCATGATAAGCACACAGGTTCAGCAAGCCCCCTTCAGACCTCAGCCACACATGGGGAATCACTTGTAATCATTACAGCGGCCCCAAAAGTCCGTGATGCATGCACACCTGCCCTCACCCTTCATACCCCGACCATACAGACAGAATGTCAGGTACCTTGGCCCTGATAAGTGCACACCCGAGCGCGCAAGACTTATTGCGGCCCTCTCGCCCAAGCCCCGCAGAGAGAGCAATTCAGCTGAGGTCCACGACCGGGTGTCATCAGCTCATTGCGTTCAAGTAAATGCAAGGCGCAGTGCTGGGGGCAAAAAGTTTTATGATCTCGACATGTTGTTGCTTGGCTTTGCTTTTTGCAAATTGCCCCGACAGGGAGGGAGAGGATGTGGTTGTGAACGACAAGTTGCCTGCTTCTGCAAGTTGCGAAGTAGGTCAGGCCGTGGGCGGCTGGTACAACCTTCGTGGCGAAAGCCAGGTTTATCGAACAAGTGTCAATTCTGGCGGTCCATCAGAAGATGAGGCGTCTCGGTTCAAGCTCACTTGTCGCTACGTCCCTGGCCTTTCAAGGCTTTGTGAGACGAAAGATGGTAGGTGCGAACAAGATGAAGTGGTTTCCGGATTGGAATATGAGCCTCGCCTGAAACGGCCCAAACGGATTTTTTTCCTTCAAACATTCAAAGCCCATTGTAATCTCAACACAGTCTTGGGCTGGTTAGGTTAATGCTGCTTTGTCTTTTGCCGGAAAGCTTTGCTTGTCTACTGGTGGCGGGCCGAAATCAGGACTGATTTTATAAATGAACGTACGTACGTTGATCAAATGTTCCAAGTGGTGCTCATCAAAGTGAAATGGGACACAATGTCGGATCTGAAGTTGGTTTGCAATGTTTTCGGGGTAAGGGACAGACCCCACGCTCATTGTTTTTTGCGCGGCTGACGGATCGAGAGTGAAAGTGATCACCTCCAAGGAAAACGCATCGTATATCAGATACCGGTGCTGCAAGATGCCCCGCACGATTGGCCAGATCTTTGCTGATGACAGATTGGAGGACGTGAAGGTCTGGGAAGGTTACTACTGTCCAGAGTCCTTGGATTTGACTGGGCGCCCACGCTACACTTTGGACAGGTATTTCGGCCCAGATCAACTGTTCGCCCAGCCGGCCAGCGACGACGAAACCACGAATACCACGAATACGACGAATTCAACGTTGCTGCAGATGTCGTTGCTTGAGAGTCAGGGCGCCTTGCAAACAGATCCCAACACGACCACGAATACCACGAATACCACCACCACCACCACCACCACCACCACGACCACGACTACCACGACTACCACTCCAAGTACCCCTCAGGCAGTGACATAGACACATCATCTCATCGCTTGACAAATTTCAAAAAAGAGTTTCTTGAGTTGCCTTCATATTGCTTGGGAGCCCGGTGGTGTTTTTACACAATGAAGGTCACTATGATTGGAAAAGCGAGGTAGGCTGCACTTCGAAAGTTTCAGAATGAAGTCGTAATATAGTAAGAAGATACACAGCATATAGTGTGCCGAATGCAAATGTATGCCTCCTGCATATTCTCTACAACATGCAGTCCAGAATTTACGTCCTTGCGAATTCCAATTGGGTCAACTTTTTGTTCTCGCATGGCTGGTGTGATTGCACTTATAGTTTTGTTTGCCTCCAGCCGTGGGCTACGGATCCATTTGCATGGTTTTGCCGGACGCATCATGGCATGGCACAACATCTCACAGCTGTGGAAACACTACGGACGCTCTCAGCTGGAAATCCATCTCCAAGATCAAAAGGTGCAATTAACCATGGCAACGTAGACGGTGTCAGAAAGCACACGACGGTGTCAGAAAACACGTGTCAGAAAACAAGAACGTCGAAGTCAGAAAAGAAGAACGTCGAAAACGGGAAACACGAATGTCCAAGTCAGATGGCAGAACGTTGAAGTCGGATGCTCTACCTTCCTATCCGACATGCAATAGTATTTCTCTATTTACAATATTCCCTTCCCAAGAGTTTTTGTCACGATTTCAAGTCATTGTTTGAACTTCCCCCCCTTAAGCCCCACATGCGATAGTATTTCTCCATTCGTAGCCTTCCCTTCCCAAGAGCTCTTGTCACGATTCCAAGTCATTGTTTCAACTTCCCTCCCCCCAAAGCCCCACATGCAATGGCATTTCTCCATTTACAACCTTCCCTACCCAAGAGTAATTGTCACGATTCCAAGTCACTGTTTAAACTTCCCCCCCTTAAGCCCCACATGCGGTCGTATTTCTCCATTCGTAGCCTTCCCTTCCCAAGAGTTCTCTTGTCACGATTCCAAGTCATTGTTTCAACTTCCCTCCCCAAAGCCCCATATGCAATAGTATGTGTTTACTCACAGCCTTCCATTCCCAAGGGGCCGCGATTCCAAATCATTGTTTAAACTTCCCCCCCCAAAGCCCAACATGCAATATAGCATTTCTCCATTAGCAGCCTTCCCTTCCCAAGAGCTCTTTTCACGAGTCCAATTCATTGTTTAAACACGAGCCCAAGTCATTGTATAAACTTCCCCCCTCTACATGCAAAGGTATTTCTCCATGCACCGCCTTCCCCCAGATAGAATTGCCGTCGACGCTCCAAGAAGAATTGCCGTCGAAGGTTCAAGTAGAAGTGCCGCCCAGGCTCCGAGTAGAATTGCCGTCTTGGGCGGTAGGTGCCTCGGTTCTACACGCGAAACCCGACTCGACTGTACACGCGAGAAAGCAACTCAGTTGTGCACGCGGATGCTGATGCTTATGATGGTGCTGACCGTGGTGATGATGATGATGATGATGGTGATGATGATGATGATGATCATGATGATCATGATGGCCAGATGGATGATGATGATGATGATGATAATGATGATGATGATGGTGATGATGATGATGATGATGATGATTAAGATGATAATGATGATGATGATGATGTTGATGATGATGACCCGATGGATGGTGATGATGGTGGTGATGATGATGATGATGATGGCCTGATGGATGACAATGATGCTGATGATGATGATGAAGAAGAAGAAGATCATGATGATGATGATGGTGATGGTCAGATGGGTGATGATGATGATGCTGGTGATGATGATGATGATGATGATGATGTTAATGATGATGGCGCTGGTGATGATGATGATGATGACGATGACGATGATGATGATCATGATGATGATGATGATGCTGGTGCTGGTGATGATGATGATGACGATGATGATGATGATGATGATGATGATGATGATGCTGGTGATGACGATGGTGATGATGACGGCTATAATGAAGTTAAGCGACGGGTGTGCCTCTAGATCCTACCCTTTTCTTCCCTAGCCCCACCCCACCCCCCAAGGTTGAAGTGTGATGGTAAGTCGAAGTAAGTTGAGTAGCGGTTGCGTTCCTATAGTGAAGTTAAGGAACGGGTGTGGCTCATAGATCCTACCCTTTTCTTCCCTAGCCCCACCCCACCCCCCAAGGTTGAAGTGTGATGGTAAGTCGAAGGAAGTGGAGTAGCGGTTGCGTTCCTATAATGAAGTTAAGCAACGGGTGTGGCTGGTAGATCCTACCCTTCCCTAGCTTCACCCCACCCCCTATAAGGTTGAAGTGTGATGGTAAGCCGAAGGAAGTTGAGTAGCGGTTGTGTCCCTTTAATGAAGTTAAGCAACGTGTGTGGCTGGTAGATCCTACCCTTTTCTTCCCTAGCCCCAGCCCCCTAAGGTTGAAGTGTGATGGTAAGTCGAAGGAAGTGGAGTAGCGGTTGTGTTCCTTTAGTGAAGTTAAGCAACGGGTGTGGCGCGTAGATCCTACCCTTTTCTTGCCTAGCCCCACCCCCCAAGGTTGAAGTGTGATGGCAAGTCGAAGGAAGGCCCCTTTAATGAAGTGAAGCAACGGGTGCGGCTGGTAGATCCTACCCGTTTCTTCCCTAGCCCCACCCCACCCCCAAGGTTGAAGCGTGATGGTAAGTCGAAGGAAGCGGAGTAGCGGTCGCGTCCCTATAATGAAGTTAAGCAACGGGTGTGGCTGGTAGATCCTACCCTTCCCTAGCTTCACCCCACCCCCTAAGGTTGAAGTGTGATGGTAAGCCGAAGGAAGTTGAGTAGCGGTTGTGTCCCTTTAATGAAGTTAAGCAACGGGTGTGGCTGGTAGATCCTGCCCTTTCCTTCCCTAGCCCCACCCCACCCCCCAAGGTTGAAGTGTGATGGTAAGTCGAAGTAAGTTGAGTAGCGGTTGCGTTCCTATAGTGAAGTTAAGCAACGGGTGTGGCGCATAGATCCTACCCTTTTCTTCCCTAGCCCCACCCCACCCCCCAAGGTTGAAGTGTGATGGTAAGTCGAAGGAAGTGGAGTAGCGGTTGCGTTCCTATAGTGAAGTTAAGCAACGGGTGTGGCGCATAGATCCTACCCTTTTCTTCCCTAGCCCCACCCCACCCCCCAAGGTTGAAGTGTGATGGTAAGTCGAAGGAAGTGGAGTAGCGGTTGCGTTCCTATAGTGAAGTTAAGCAACGGGTGTGGCGCATAGATCCTACCCTTTTCTTCCCTAGCCCCACCCCACCCCCCAAGGTTGAAGCGTGATGGTAAGTCGAAGGAAGCGGAGTAGCGGTCGCGTCCCTATAATGAAGTTAAGCAACGGGTGTGGCTGGTAGATCCTACCCTTCACTAGCCCCACCCCACCCCCCAAGGTTGAAGTGTGATGGGAAGTCGAAGGCAGTGGAGTAGCGGCTGTGTCCCTTATGAAGTTAAGCAACGGGTGTGGCTGGTAGATCCTACCCTTTTCTTCCCCAGCCCCACCCCACCCCCCAAGGTTGAAGTGTGATGGTAAGCCGAAGGAAGTGGAGTAGCGGTTATGTCCCGATAATGAAGTGAACTAGTAGCTGTTGTCTTCCTATAATGAAGTTAACTAGCCCCACCCCACCCCCCCAAGGCTGTGTGTGTGTGTACAACTGAGTCAATTTTGTGTGTACAAGTGAGTCAGAATCCTCTGTGCGCAGCTGAGTCAATTTTGTGTGCGCAAGTGAGGCGCCTACCGTCTTGGGCCGACTTAGAATTGCCGTCTAAGGCCCAGTTACAATCATGGCCCAATCAGAATTGCCGTCTAGGCTCTAAGACGTATTGCCGTCTAGGCTCTATCTGTTATTTTTTTCCATTCGCAGCTCACCCTTCCCAAGAGTCCTTGTCACGATTCAAAGTCATTGTCTTGCCGAAGCTTGTTTGTTGCCCCTGTTGCCCTTTGATGTTGTTTGTGTAAGACTATTTAGTGCGCAGCCCCTCCCCGCTGCGCACGGTGGCGCCCTCCAGCAAACTAACTGGCGCCTCCCAAGTTAGGAGGCAGCTGGCTGCCTCCTTGACATTGAACGATTATCATGTATCAACCAATTCAAATTTAGGAGGCTTAGCTGGTGTAAGCTTCCTTGTCAGATGTAACTGGGGTTTCAGGAGACTTCTTATTATTTAAGCCTCCTTGCCACTCTAAATTTTTAAAGCGAAGGAGACGACTAACCTGTCATTTTAAACTGCTGCAGGGACACATGCCATTCAAATCCAGGGCGCCAAGTAATCTGCATATGCACGGGCAAGTTGCGACATCGTCTTCAAGGCGACCTGTAAGTCATCTTGGAATTCTTCCAGGCCGCCGCATCTTTCTGCAGCCTTGATAAAAATGCCTAAGTCTCCCACGGCGGCCAAAGCCTCAGTCATGGATTGATCCCTCTGAGGCCTAGTCTGCCCAAGCTCATTGAACCGCACAAACATTGGTAAGTTTTCAAAGCCTGGTACTTCTCGATGTGGAAAACGCAGCACGGACATTGGGACTTCTTCCAAGTCTTCAGCCTGTGTGATGTGAGGAAGGCCAAAGCGCAAGTTGGTCAACACGTCGTGGCACAAGGAGAGTGCAGGCACAGCGCTGCCATCGCAGAGCTGTGCGGTGTAGTAGAGGCCATTGCGGAGGCGTTCCATCTCGTGCACCACATAGTCATCCCAATCAACGAACTCCCGCAAAGTGCGCCTTAAGGCCAGAAGGTCAGTCCACTTCATGGCTAGGCTCTTCAAACGAATGACACAAACATTACAGCCAAGGCTGCCGTGGGAGTGGGTACAGCCAAGTGAGGAGGAACCGTTAAATTATTTAAAGTTACTTAGTCGTGAGTCAGGCCGAGGCTGTGGCAAACCTATTTCTGAACAGCTTTCACAGTGGCCACAGCAAAAAAACGCACACAACAGCTTTTATCCTCCTTTGCGCATCAGTCAGGAGAACAAACGACTTAAAGATCAAGATTGGCCAGCGCAGTGCTCTCACTGCAGGCTCCCCGCACTGTCACAGATTCAGTGACAATGATACTACCCGTCACAAGTTAATAGCGACGCCAAAAATATCTACCAGGCCATGCTCGACCCTGAACCGTCAGAGGCGGCGCCCTCGTCTTCGACACTTTTCTTCTTCGTCTTGTTCTTCGTCGTCTTGGGCTTCTTCTGCTCAGGCTCTTCGCCCTGGGCCTCCGCCTCCTCGTCACCGTCACCCGGCGCCGTCTCATTCTTCTTGGGGCGCTTCTTGGTCACCGGCTTTGCTTTGGCCTTTGACTTGGGCTTGGGCTCGTCATTCTGGCTCTTGACCGTCATCTCAGGGATGTAGTAGGTGGATCCATCCCGCTGCTGCTCTTCGTAGATGTATTCCGTCAACATGATCTCAAGCTTCTTGCAATGTCCATCCGTCCCGCAAATTGCAAGACAAGGAGTGCGAGAAGACATCGCTGCTTTCAGGAGCTCTCCTGCAAGATTTTCCGATGAAGTTAAAAAAACCAATGACTTAAGTAACACGGGTTGCGGTCCTTGTGCTGGAGATGTGTCGACAATGCCGATGCAGCTCAGGGAATGGACCATCTCCATGTAGTACTCGACCGGCAGCATGGAGCAACTGAACACGCTCTCAAGCTCTCCAGCTCCTGCCGCATCCTCTGCCGGCTGGCCGTCGCCTTGCTGGCTTGAGTTGGCCGGAATGAACACGTGCCGGCTGCCAAGGATGTCGAGCTTGTCCTTCCTGACAATGGGGCAGCGAAGATGTTTTGAAAAACGCTGACTATATTTGACACGACAAACAGCTAAAGCTAAGAACCACCAGCCTGGGAACTCGCCAAAGCTTCGAAGGGCCCAAGCAAGAAATGTACCCGATGACGTCGCCGTGGCTAAAGCCGGGATAGATCTTGCGCTCAACCTCGGGCATGGTCAAACTCAATGGCTTCTCACTGTAGAGGTTGCACAGCATCTGCTGGCTGTAGGCGCCCGCTCTGACGATCTGCTTCCTTTCACGAACCGATTTCTCATTGAACATCAGCCACACAGACTGCTTGGAAGCTTCCTTGAAGAGCTTGGGGCCAACGCTCAGCGGGTCTACCACAGCCACCACAACCCCTTCGGCAGGCACAGAGCAACGAACCTTCTCCACTGACTGTGCCCCCAAGGCGATGCAAGGGCAAGCAGCAAGCTTCTCGACAAGGTCAATGTCCTCAGTCAGCAGCCGCTCAATAATATGAAAATTTTGAAACCGCAGTGTGGACTCTTTGACTGAAAAAAATGTCCCAAAAAAAAAATTGAGCCAAGCAGCTGGCTTCCAGCGCTTGCCTCGGAGCTCCGCTTGGCAGTGAGGGCCAGAAGATTCTCCAAGCAGCGCGGTGTCGAGGTGCACCAACAGGGTCTTCTTTCCAATTTCAGGCTGCAGGCCAGTCGCTGCTTGCCATTGGGAAACTTGGAGCTGCAACTGAGAATCATTCTTGCCTTCCGTGACGAAGGTCAAGTACATCCTGACTGACTTGTTGGCAACTGCTCTCCAATAGCTCGGGCTGCCTTGCTTCAGAGTGTTTGGGGCCTTCCTGGCTTCTGTCAGCAAAGCCTCCTCATCTTGAGAATCTTCACCGTCGCTGAGCTCCGCTTCCTTTGCCTGGTTCTGGGCAAGCTCGTTCTGGCGCATTGCGATGACCTGCTGCCAGCGCTCGTTGATGGAGTCCAATTCCAAGACGACCTCCGGATTGGTGCTGACTCCTTTGCAAATGCCCCTCAACAAGTTGTCGAACGTTTTGAGGAAGACCACATCCTGGAAGAAACGCAAAGCCTCTTGCCCGGACCTGGACATGCTAGCCTGCCACTGCACGCTGTCTTCACAGGCTTGCCGCATTGAAGGACAATCCCGGCATCTGGACTTGATTGCCTCCCGGTCAGTCTCTGAGATCTTGGCCTGCAGCATGAGGGTGTCACAGATGTAGTTGAGAAGCTTCATCTTCCACTCCCACAACACCACGAGACCAGCCGTGTGCTTGTCTCCCAGCAACGCCTTCTTGCTGATGTCTTCGTTCTCTGCCAGCCCATGCTCCAAATGGTCCAAGAGCATCTGAAAAATCCAGCGCCTGGCAGCTTTGCCACTGGGTTTAGTGGCAAGCTTCTCAAGCTTGACCAAGCTGTTCAGGCAGCTGTCAAGTCCATGCTTGCTCTCCAAGACTCGGATCACTTCCAAGACCTCGTCATCTGAGCCAAGCTGCCGCATGACATGTCCAGCAGCGGTGAAGTTCCACTCTGTGAAGATGCCGCCGTTGGAATTCGCAGAAGTCTTCGCAGTTGTGATGGGGTAGGTCTTGACCAGGGCAGCCACTTCAGAGTCTTGGAGCCGACGGTTTTCGACAGATTCGAGCATGGCCTGCAAACTTGACGATGCTAGAAAGCCGCGTAAAAAATCTGGAAAAAACAAATCAATCACAACTGATTTTCGCAACACAGAGGCCTTCAAACTGACGAGCTCTGCGCTCATTTGGAAGGCTGTCCTCGCCATGGATTCATGCTCCTGCATGACCTGTTGCCTTCGGCTGATCGCCTTGTGCCAAATGTCCTTCTCAGCGCACAGCACCATGCAAGTGGGAATTCCCAACCTGAGGCTGGCATGGTGACAAAATGTTATGATGGTACAAAACACTAAAAAAATTACCGACCCCATTAATAATCAAAGTATGCCTCCCGAAAAAAAAAGTTGGCTGTTCTTTGAAAATTAAAACCAAGCCGCAAAGTCAGCCGCCACTGCTTCCTCTCTTCCTCGTTGCAGTCGGCTTCTCTCAAGCGCTTTGCGCAAGCAAAGACAATGGCGTGGGCCTGTTCCTCCGGGCTGATCAGCTTCAGACCGGCTGGCCTGTCAGAGAGCTCCTCCTTGACCACGGCAACTTCGAGGACCGAGCGAAAGAAAGAGTGCCCCGAGCCGAAGTAATGGGAGCCCAAGTCCTCCACCCTCTTTCTGCAAAGCGGCACCGATGGATTGGATGTGCGATACAGATCAACCCACATCAGATTGCAGGCTGAGATGTACAAACCTTGGCCATCAAGGGCCTTGCCAGCATCCTCCAGGTGGAAAGGCTCCTGGCTGAGGGGCAATGCAATGGGTTATTTATTATATGTTACTTTGATTGATTACAGAGTCCATGCCTGGTTTAAAATGAGCCAGGAAAATATGAAATTAAACGATGTTAGGGGGTCGTCATGTCAGTCATCTTGTCATTTGAAGCTGCAGCATGCTCCTGCACTCCGCCCTTGTCATCGTTTGCTTGGACGATCGGGACGGGAAGCTCCGACTTGAGGTCGCCAAGCTTGTCTGCGATCACCTGCAAATCGTTCTTCAAGCCCTGCATGTAGGCTTCATTCACCCCAGAATCCTTCAGGCCTGGCCCAACAACACAGCTGCTGCCGGCTGGGTCGGCTGGATTCTTGGGAGCAGAGTTAGCCTTGGCGCTTTGCTTCTGCAAGCTCTTCAAGTGCTTGGCTTCCTGGAAAACCCTCTCCAAGCGCTTCTTCTCCTCTGTGTGCTTTCTGTCATACTCGTCTCGAGCCTCTTCCCGGAGCTGAGCATTTTCAGCTTCCCACTCGGCCAAGTCCTTCTTAACTTGGTTCTGCTCCGCCTTGTTCAACCTCCATGCTGAAGGGCCGCCCATGACCTAGGTCAGAGTCTAAGAACAAAGCCGTCGCTGTTTGAGTGAAAATGCTGCGGTATAGGTGAAAAATAATACATTCCAGCTGCCTCAGCCACAAGTGCAAACATCACAGGAAAATCGCGCCAAAGCAGGAGTGAAACAAAAGAACGCTGGCTGCTTTTCTTTTTTATACCGCTCACTTGGCCGCTTCTCCTTGGAAGGTGTGGTCAACATCTTTAAATGCAGTTGGGGATGCCCAAAAATCTGTCCTAGTAACTTGAGATGGCCACAAGCCGCTCGCAGCCAGTGCCCGACTGAGGACCCGTTGAAGCACATTCAAGCTCATTCCATCTCCAAATGCTGCTGCCACTTCGTTTTCGCATCTGGCCTGGGTGAACCTCTTGTCGTTTGCGTGCTCGGCCAAAAGTTTTCGAACCATGTTTCGGCAAATGCTGACTGGAATGCCTTGCAGCTGGGAAAATTCTTCCACTGACAGCCGCCGAGCCAAGCGGGGCACATAGTAGCCACGAGCTTTGCACCGGCTACGGGTGAGGCAAGGGCTCACCCGATGCTTGGGAATGCTGGTGAACCGAGCGGACGAGGCGACGTCCAGGATCCAGTAGCCAGTTCGAAGCTTCTCGGTTGCAGTGCTTGGGCCAAACTTGCTCAAATCCAGTACTTCATCTCCCACTTTGCCGACGTCCAAGATGGATTCAATCGGAGGACACTTCCCCAAGGCCTTGGGAAACCGGAATTCGGCAATGGGATTTCGCAAGGCCACGACCCAAAGACGGGGTCTGCTTTGGGGCAAGCCGTGGTCGCAAGTCTGCAAGACTTTTGCACGGACCGTGTACCCGCAAGCAGCAAATGTTTTGCGAAGCATCTTCTGGGCCAGCCAATGCTTCTTTTCCAAGAAGCCAGTCACTTGCTCCAGCAAAACTACGGGCGGCTTGTGGTAGGCTATGTACCGCAGTCCAGCCACCAATGGAATGCCTCTTTTTTTCGAATCCCGCAAGCCGAATCTGCGTCCCATTTTCGAAAATGCAGGGCAAGGAAACCCTGCCAGGTAGATGTCGGCACCTGGGGAATCTTTGGGGTCTCTTTGGAAGATGTCTGTGGCAAAAGACTCTGACTTACAGCTGGTCCGGCAGGTTTCGTGAACCACACCAATGAGACATCGCTTCACTTCGTCAATTTCACTTCCACCAACGATGGTGAAAAACTGCTTGAGTCCTAGTAGTGTCAAAGCGATAGTCTCAGCGCTGATTCCAGCGCAGTCAGAAAAAACTCGGAGCTTGGAACCTTTTGGCCTTGGTTGGAATGGCCGAGCTTTGTGCTCCTTCACGTAAGCCTTGAGCTTCCCCACGAGCTTCTCCAGCTTACTCTCTGCGACTTCCGTTGTCCGCGGCATGCTCTAAGTGAGTGAGGCCCTACGCTTGCACTGCAACACATGTGAGACTTCTAGCACTGCAACACAGAATTGTTGAATCTCAGTGTGAGTAATGTCAGGTGTCAAGACATATCGTAAATTACTAAATTCCTCTGTGAGCATAGACATTGCGCAGGCGGCTAAGTTGCTTGCCGGGTTACCCACCCCTGCCTCGCAAGAATATGTGTGAAATTCTTCGCGAGGTGACCCTAGGGCATTAACAGGGCTTGCTCGCAGAGCCAGACCGGCCCGGCTTCGCGAGGGAACCCTGTTAAAAATCCACGCAACCCTGTGCGAGCCATTTCCCAGGGTAGCACCGATTTTTAACTCCCCTCCCTCGCAAGGCCAGACCGGCCCGGCTTCGCGAGGTGACCCTAGGGATTTATCAGGGTCACCTCGCAAAGCCAGACCGGTCCGGGTTCGCGAGGCTCCTCGCAGAGCCAGACCGGTCCGGCTTCGCGAGGTGACCCTGGGGGCACCTTGCCGCGAAGTGTGAGGAGGCCATGTCGGCCTGCCTTAGCTTTGACAATTTTGTTAAGTTAGGAGACCATGTCGGCCTGCCTTACCTTTAGTGGAAAGCACTTGTCTCAAGCTGTCCTACTCAACTAGGAGGAGACCGCTTGGCCTGCCTTGATGATGGCTTATGTCTTAAAGTCTATACTTTGAAAAGACAATGCCCTGGGCTTTCGCTTTACTTTTATGTTCACCGTTCACGCTGCCGACACTCCAAAAGAACGACCATAGTCGATGCATGCTGCAGTTAATAACTGTACAAACTCGTCTTTGCTGTGCCAATGACCGCCTGCTCGTTTCAGCTGGGCCAGATTCGCATCGGTCTTGTCTTTGACAAGGCAAATCGTATTTTTCCGCACATTTTCAAGGGCTACTCCAGACCACATTTTCTTCTCAAAAACCGCCCACCTCAGGAGATGAGTCATGGCTGGCTCTTGTTGCTTGAAGTCTGGCGTGCAGTGGAGCGTGGGCCACTTCCGTTTCAAAGACTCCAACTTCTGCAAGCAGTATTGAGATTTGATGCCGGCGCGCTTCAGTAGCAAGGAGTATGACAAAATGCAGCCCCCAGTTGCCACGGCCATGAAATAAGCCTTCGAGGGAATAGCTGAATCGTCCACAACAAAGACAGAGGCAGCTCGGATGTCCTAGGCATTTGAAATGGCCGAGAGGCAAAAAAAAAACAAACCCGAACCACCCATGCCTGGAAAGTAAAAAGCTCCGGTCCTGCTCCTGCAGCAATGGGGCGCACGCCGTGGGAGGCAATCCAGTGGCGAACCATGCCTTGGCTGGCCCTAGTGATTGCCATCTCCATGTGCGCGCATTCGTTGTGGAAAGGAGCTGGGATTCTTGCTTCTTCCGTTTCAAATGCATGGCCTGATCTGCTTTGGCGTCCTCCCTGGCTCTCTTGGCAGCTGCCTGCTCCAAGCTCAAGCCTTCCGCGGCACCCAAGCCGAGGAAATAGCCATCACGACGCGCCTCCACCTTCTTCTTCAGAAGCGTTTCTCGCGAGTTGGCAATTTCCTGGCAGAGGGTAGCAAAGAAACGACGACTTTACAGAAAGTTTTTAAGACCAGCCAGCCCTGTCCTTCTGAGCTTTCTGTGACAAATTGGCTATCGCAACTTCGTGGTCCACAGGTTTTTGCCCTGAAGTGCTTGCAGCGGCTGCCCTGACAGAAGCCCGCCTACGCTTGATCCAAGTCTTCTCCACGACTTTGCCAGCAAGTTTTGCTCGAGGACCTGTCTTGACCCCCTTGTCTAGGCGCTTCCTTTGGTATTTGCCAAGGTGTCTGGATACTCTTGCTGCATATAGAGCACGGGCCTTGTCCACGACAGAAGCCAAAGACGCTGCAGGGGAGTCATTGTACGTCAAGCACACCATCGCTCGACGCTCTGAATCGGCTGCCTTTGGCCCGAAATGCTTAGCTCCATGGCTCCTCTCAGCTTTGGAAAAAGCTTGCTCCACGCCAGAGCTAGAGGTGGTCCAGCAGGCATGCGCTTGAAGCAAAGGGGCCAAATTCTTGGTTTCATATTTTTCCCTCAAAGCAGAAGATGCTTGGCTTCTTCGGAATGCTTGTTTCCACGCATCCCTGCTAGTGCAATCTTGCTGTTCTCGGAATGCCATGGCCACTGGCCGCAGAGCGTCAAACTCGGAGACCAGCCCTTGCTCATCAACTTGCAAGGCGACGGCTAGTCGCTGAAGGCAAGCATATCTGTCATCTGTTAGCCGGCCACCAGATCGCAGATCCAAGACGCTCATCGATGAGAAGAGATGGAAATGCGGAAACTCAGCCTCGCAAGCCTCATGACACAAATGAACCCACGGTTTGAAGGCTTCCAGGACAGCACGGCGATCGCCCGCAGACACCCTCAGCCTCTTCTGCTGACCCCTGTGCTTGACATAGAGTCCAGGCTCTGCTTGCAACAGGTCTAGACAATGCTTGCTGTATCCATTCACGTCGAAGACTTGCCCTGGCTGTCCAAATTGGATGTCTACATTGCGCAGAAAACTGTGGACCTCTGAATTCAGAATGGCCGGGTCTTGCGATTCATTGTCCATCAGCCGCAAAAATTCCATCACTGTATCAGCTGCATCAGCGGCTGCCGCAACAAGAAGCAATTTCTTGGCAGAGACGTTGTCCATCCACTTGTGCAGCCAGTCACAGTCTTCCTTCAAAGCCAAAATTTTGTGTAATACATCAAATATCGGTCTCATATTCAAACAAAATCTCCCAAGAGGTTTGGCAAAGGACGCGAAGCGGTGCTTTGCCGCCGATAAGCTGCTGGTCTGGGGGCCGGCACCTTTGGCAATGGCTTCTTGCAGCCAAAATGAATAGTTCGGGGAGTGGAAAATCTTTTGCGCCAAGGATTCTTTGTTGGTGACTGTGCTGCTAACAGCGTCTTTCACGTCATCCATGACATGCCAAGGCCGTTTCAGCAGTCTCATGCAAGCATGGCTTGCATCGCGGCCCAGCAAAACGATGTTTGGGAAAAAAACATCTCTCTGCAGTTCGGCTTGATCTGACCGGCGCCGAGATCTGAGTATATCCGACGCAAGTAATTCAGCTGACGCAGCATCGGTTACCATGATGTGAACATGGCTCCGAACGTGGCTGAGCAATGCTTCATCCACTGACCCACCAAAGCCAGGTGTGCAAAATAGTTTCAAGGCTTTCACTGTGGCTCTTGCGATGTGTTCCGAAGTCTTACCTTCAACCAGGCGAGGCTGCCCAATGCAGCCGCTGCAGACTCGCAAGTTCGCATCCTTTGCCCTAAATCGCAGCAGCAAGCGGCCTTGTCTTTCCTGGGCTCGGAACGTCAAACTCTGAAAGTTCAAAGGATGTCTGGCCCCGATAATAATAAATCGACAAAGTAGAGTTAAATGAGAAACATTTGCTTGAAAATGCAAGATTCATCCCGCATCAGAGTGATGCTTTGGGCACTGGCCAGGAAGACGCGGTAAGCGTGCAAGATAGCTTCGGAAAGGCAATAGTGCATCAACTTGGTTCGGGCCGATGGTGTTCCGTCCCCTTTGTCGCGCTGAGAATGTCCTCTGCTCAGCTTGCGCACGAGGTCTTGCCATTCTTCAGCAGCAGGGGCATGAGAAGTTGGATCAGCTGCATGAGCGGCAATGTGGTACTTGGATTGTGCATGGTGCCGAAACCTCCAGCTCTTCCAAGTGACTTCGGGCCGAACTGAGAAAGTGGCATAAGGGGAAAGCTGCGAAGTATCACTCCCGGCTGCAGTAAACTTGGCAGCATGCAGCGCGCAAATTTTGCACCCCACTGTCAAAATGTTGCTATTGCCCGCAAAACCTGCCCGCAGCCAAGGAAATTTTCTCCTCCAAAATGAACCCTTGAGCAGCCAAGCGTTGTCTGAAGTCTGGCAACGCTGCCCATGTTCCACCAATTTCTTTGAAGACGGCGACACTAGCGTCACATCAGGCACGATTTTGGCAGGCAGAGCCATGACCCCTGGATGCCTCAATGTCAAGCCAGTCTGCAGCACACATCAGAAAAAATCTTCCAAGCAAGCGTGGCTGTTCTGAATGACGTGGAAGTTTCTACCCGCGTTGCTATACTACCCCCAACGCATCGCGGCTGTGGGCTCCCCTTTTTTTTCTCCCAAGACGGCTATCAAAGCAACTTTGGCCACTTCCGGGTGAAAACTCGGGGTGACTGCATCAGGCCATGACAAATGAATTAATAATCTTAATTTAATTAATTGTGCCCAATTCAACTACCGCACCAACTTCCCTCAGTCAGCGTCGACTCGTCATCGTCATCTTCTACCATGACGCCCCGCCGGATCAGCTCTTTTTCGATTTTTCTGGCCAGAGTTCGTGCCTGGTTCTTGAAAGGCGAGCAATTTTTGAGGTAGCCCCATTTCGCTTGGAGGCCCTTTGTAGACATGTTTTTGAGCATGTTCTTCTGTTTCGTCAGGGCTTCAGGATTCAGAGGAAAGCAGCTGTCACTCTTCAAGGGCAAGATTGTCGCTTCGTTCTTCACGGTCTCTTTGATCACTGTTGAAGACGGCATGGCTGCAAGATACTGTCTAAACACTACAAAGTCAAAGTTTCAAACTTCCCTGGCCAACCTGTTTTTTTGGGCAAGCAAAGCAACAATTGAATTGCAAGTGTGCAAATTTAGAAGCAAACCCGTTCGAATTCCTGATTCTAAACTCAGAGGCTTTCACCGGCTGTCCAAACACCGTCCTTGACCAGCGAAGTGTGAGTTGAACTCAGTCTCCTTTGAACTAGGAGACTAGCTGCGACTTGATTTATTAGCCAGTCTTGACAGCCGCCTCCTTTGTCCAGGAGATTGCGGAGGTCATATCTCCTTTGACACTGGCTGCGAAAAGCTTTGCTTTGACAGCCGCCTCCTTCGTCTAGGAGACCCTGACTTGAAGCCCGATCGTCTGCAAACATTGATGACGACTAAGCCTCCTTCAGTCATTGACCATTGACCATTGTGTCAGGAGACCGCCCTGATATATCCAACCCAGTGTCATTACCAGACCACGAAACCACTTGGCCGCTTTGCGCCCCTTTTTTTAACCACCCGCTGCTGTCAGTGTCACGTAGACACCCAGGACCAGGTCCAGCGCCCTCTTTCGTGGTGACCTCCTCCACCACCGCGGGACCAGTCTTGCCACCCATCCCAAAGAGGTTTTTTGGGTGGGACGTAGTGCCAGTTGTCGTCGTCATCTTCATCTTCGTCGTCTTCCCAATCCCACTGGCCCCGCTTGTTGTACCAAATTGTTCTCTGCCGGCCCTTGTTGCTCTTCTTGCGCTTCTTTGACGACGGTTTCCAGTAGATGTCCTGAGGGCGCATGGCGCGACCAGAAACAAAATCCATTGGAAGAAAAGGAAAAAACCAGACCTATTTACTGGGGGCCGCCCAAACATAAAAACTGCTAAATTAAATCCCAGGCTCGCAGTTCTTGTTGAAGCATTGGCCTCGGCCAGCGTACGTTTGCTTTTGGCACAGCTTGCAGATTCTTAGGTCCACCGTGTGGTTCATAGTCTCTGCAGGCGGCGGCGGAGCTGAAGTCAAGTCGACCACAGGGGGAGTCTCAGGAGTCTCCGCCGTATGGGAAGGGGCAGGGACAGCAGGAGGGTCTGGAATGACAGCTTTTGCCACAGGCGGCGCCATATTTCTCCACGGCGGCGGCCCAGAACTGCCAGGTGGGTCCATGTGCCCAGGAGGCGGTGGCGTCATGGGCGTGCCGCTTGGCAGTAGTGGCGGGGCTTTGGCTGCCAAACCCGCCTCGCCCATTGGTCCACCTGGTGGTCCGGCTGCCATGCCCGCCCCGGCTGTTGGCGCCATAGGCGTTGTCGCCTTAGGCGTTGTCGCCGGGCCAGACCCCCCAGTGCCAGGGGCACTGCCTGTAGGAGGCGGAGGCCGCGCCAGGTAACCCCACAGGCTTGCAGCCAAGGCCTGGAGCGGGTCTGCAGGAGGACCAGGGGGAGGCCCTCCTTCAGACTCGCCTGGCGCTGCCAAGGCTATCACCATCAGCGCCGCCAGCCACAGTGCAGAGCTGCGCATGGCTACTTCCAGTCAGGTGAGGGACAGGGGCAAATCACTTGAGATCCAACAGCTGCAATGAAAATAAAATTTTCGAAGCAACTGCCAACGATTCTCTAGACGACGATTTGCTTAGCTTTCAGGAGACGTGCGCCGCCTTAACTTTAGGAGACACGCGCCTTCCTTCCCATCTCAAACTCCCTTGTCAATGGACAGGAGGCGCGCGCCTCCTTGTCTTGAGGAGACACGCGCCTTCCTTCCCATCTCGACTAACGGGCAGGAGGCGCGCGCCTCCGTGTCACTTGACATTCATGTCATCAGACCAAGGACCAGGAGACGCACGCCGCCTTAACTTAGATTGGTCAGGAGTCGCGCCTCCTTATTTAGGAGACACGCCTCCTTCACTGACCATCTGCCACCTTGTCGTGGACATGGGTCATGGATCATTGACAACCAGGAGACTGGCCATGGCGCCTCCTTGGCCAGATCCACGAGGTTCAATGGCATTTGAAAATTTTCAGGAGGCTTCAGGGCGCCTCCTTACAATGTCCTTTTAAACAAATATTATTTCAAGTAATCAGGAGAGAGCGGGCTGACAAACTCTGGAAGTCAGGTTTCACACGTTTGCTTTTTCTTACTTACCTAACTGTAAAAGCACAACATCAAAGGGCAACAGGGGCAACAAACAAGCATCAGCAAGTTGTCCCGCGCTTGTCTCCGACTGTCCTGCTGTATGCTTTGGGTTCTCTGGGCCGCCTGATTCTACACTTGTTTCCCGCTTGTTTCCCGCTTGTCTCCCACTGTTTCCCAGCATGCTGTGGGCGCTCTGGACAACATGACTCTACACTTGGTGACGGGCCAAAAAATTAAGCACTACAAAGCGCAGTTTATATATATACATAATATATATATAATATTTGTGTTTAGCGTGAGCATTTTCCATCTAATTATTGGGGTTATTTTGACCTATACGCGCTTGTCTCCTGTTTGTCTCCGACTGTCGCCAAGTACAGTGTTGGTGCTCTCTGGTCAGCATGACTAACGCTTCCGCTCGTCCCCCACGGTTTCCAAGTGTGCTGTATGATCTTGGCCGCTTGGCTTGCACTTTCCAGATGTCTTGTCGATGCTCTGGGCCTCTGGGCCGCGTGGCTCCACACTTGCCTACCCCTTGTCTTGCAGATCCGGCTGATTCCAGACTTGCCTGCCTGTCTCCAACTTGGCTCCCAGCTGTTTCCCATCTGCAAATGCTCTCTGGATGCTTTGGGCTGCACTTGCCTCCCACTTGTCTACCAACGTCTCACAGTATGCTGTGGATGCTCTGAGCTGCATGGTTCTACGCTTGCCCCCCACTTGTCTCCAACTGGGCCCCCCTGTGTCTGCAAGAGTATTGTGGGTTTTGGGCCGCACAATTCTACACTTATGTCCCGCTTGTCTCCCACTTGTCTCCGACTGTCTCCCAGTATGCAGTGGGTGCTCTGCACTTTTCCCGTACTGTCTCCACGGATACTTTGGATGTTCTGTGCCGCATGAACCTACACTTGTCTCCTACTGTCTCCAAATAATAAGTTGTGGGTGCTCTGGGCTGCAGGAAGCTACACTTGTTTCCCTCTTGTCTTCTACTGTCTCACAGTACGCTGTAGTGTGGGTGCTTTAGGCTACTTCTTTTTTTTTCGTTTGTCTCCTACTTGTCTCCCAGTATGCCATGCTGCGCGATTTCAGAAGCAGTTTATTGTCGGGTTCGTTGGTGCATCATTGGGGTGGTAGGAGCGTTAACTTGTTTCCACGCGTTTCACATTTGCTTCCCAAGTTTGTTCCTGTGATTTTGTTCTTTGGGACCGCAGACTTTACTTTTCTACTTGTCTCCCACTTGTCTACCGCTTCTTTTCCTGTCTGCGGAGGAATTGGGACCGAATATTTCCTTTACTGTATCTCCTACTTGTCTCTCATTTGTCGTTTGCTTCTGTCTCTGTGCTGTCCTTAAAGTGGAAAACATGATTTGTCTACCGCTGAACCCCACCTTTCTCCCACTTCCGTCTCTGTGCTGCGGCCTTTGGTCCCCTGTTTGTGTTCCAATTTCTTTGATTATTTCCTTTCTTACATGTATATGGTCTCATGGCAGGCACCAATTCGGCGCCTGATGTTTCCTTCTTCTGTTTGGGCTCAGCGCTGTATAACTTTTGTTACTTGTTACTTGTTGCTGGCGGGATGGAATGGATGGTTCCGAGCAGCTTTTGTGGTTGCATTTCTCCCTTGCTTTGTCTCCTACTTCTGATTTATGCTCTTCGATCTTTTATCATTTCCTTAAACTTGTATCCTTGCGTAGTTGCACCCCATCAACACCTCATCTTTGCAACATGGGCGGAAAGGATGGTCGTGATTTCTTGCAATGCAACGCGGATTGTTTCTACGTTGCCTCTTTAGGACGCCCGAGAAAGAATTTCTTGGTAAGGAGCCTTTCCCTTAACATTTCATCTCCAGCGTGTGTTTGGCTGCTAGGTGGAAGCGTCGCCTGTTCAGGGGAGGTCAGGCAAGGTCCTGTTAACTATTGTCCTGCCTTTTGCATTCCTCTTCGTTTAGTGTGCTTACTGGGGCCCGTTAGGCAGAAAGAGGGAAGAGAGACAGGTTTGGTTTTTCCACACCTGCCAGTGAAGGTCTCCAGATTTTAACAAGGGTACAACTCCTCCTCCTCCTCCTTCTCCTCCTCATCTCCGCCCTTGCTGTGCCTTGTGACCCGAACCCCCGAACCTCACCGCCAGCCCCGGAGGCTGCGGAGCACGCCTGGACCCGAACCCCATGTCGCGAGCTCCGAATGCTAGCACGCCTGGACCTGTCGACACGCCTGGGCCCGAACTCCATACCGCCAGCTCCGGATCCTGTGGACGAGCGCGACTGGACCCGAACACATGTGAGATAGAATGCCAGAAAGATTGCCAGATAGAATGCCAAAACATATGTCAGACAGAATGCCAGAAAGAATGTCAGATAGACTGTCAGAATATATGTCAGGTATCCAGGTAGAATGTCAGAATATATGTCAGGTAGAATGTCAGGTAGAATGTCAGCATAGATGCCAGAGAGAATGCCAGAATGAATGCCTTAAAAAATGCAAGAAAGAATGCCAGAATATATGCCAGAAGTATGTCAGAATGGATGCCAGATAGATAGAGTGCCGGATAGACTGTCAGAAAAAATGCCAGATAGATTGCCAGGTAGAATGTCAGATAGAATGTCAGAATATATGTCAGATAGAATGTCAGATTAGATGTCAGGTAGAATGCGAGATAAAATGTCAGATAGAATGTGACTTAGAATGCCAGATAGACTGTCACACAGAACGTCAGAATATATGTCAGCCAGAGTGCCAGAAGGAAAGTCAGAATAATATGTCAGGGTGGGGATCACTCGAAATAAAGTAATTCTTATTCTCGTTTTTTTTGCTGGGGTGGTACGTCTGGCCCTTTAGGGAAGGCTTCTCTCAGTTACCTTCTGCCCCTTTCCATGTTCGTGCAGTGCATCTACTACAGTTGTCTTTCGTTGCAGGTGTGGAAGGGTTGGCCCCAAAAGTTCATTGAAATAAGATGCCTTCTCTCATAGTAGCTGAGGTGGAAGGGCTGGCCCGACTATCTTCTCCAATCTTCCGTTTTACATTTCATCTCTTGCATCTGTTTGTTGTTGCTGGGTGGAAGGGCCGCCTCTTCAGGGGAGGTTGGGCAAGCTCCTCTCAACCATCGTTTTGGCATTTGCATTCCTATGCCTTGAGTTGTTTATGCTTGCGGAGGCCCGTCATGTGCTTCCCTCTCCTGGGTATCCTGCAATTCTTACAGCAATGACTCTTGCAATGTCTTGTTCCTGTTTGCTGTTTGTGAAGTGGAGGGGCCTTCTATCCATTGTCCATCCTCCCCTTTTCAAGTTTATTTCATGTTTTGTTCCAATTGTTGCTGCTGCGTCGGGTGGGTTGGCTCTTCTCGGGAAGTTGGGCCATGTTCTCTCAACGATTGCCTTGGCATTTGCATCGGTTTTATTTTAGTTGTTTGTGCTTGCTAGCTGCTAGGGTTTGTCAAGGAGAAAAACGGTGTAAATATGTTCTCTTCCTTTGCCTTTCTTTGATTATCTCCTGTTTTAGGGTGGAAGGGCTGGCTCTTCAGGAAGGGTTGGGCTGGGGTGGAAGGGCTGCCCCACCAAGCAGAAGGAGGAACATGTCCTTTGGAAATAACCTTCTCTCTTTTATTCTCTTTTGGTCCTCTTTCCTCCTCCTGGTGTTACAGAGGCGGAGGGGTTCGCGCTTTAGGGAAAGTTGGGCTGCCTATCTTCTCTGACTGGCCTTCTCCCACTTCACACTTCATGTCTTGCAAGATCTTGTATGTGTTTGCTGTTTTTGACGTGGAAGGGTCTTCTCTCAATTCCCCTTCTTCCCTTTTATATGTCAATTTCGTGCCTTGTGCCAATTGCTGCTGCTGCATTGGGTGGGTTGGTTCTTCAAGAGAGGTTGGGCAAGGTTCTCTCAGCTATTGCCTTGCCATGGGCATTCTTCTTCTTTTGGTTGCCTGTGCTTGCTGCGGTGGGCAGGGAGCCTTTGAAGGACAACGGTGGGTTGTTTCTGTCTCCGCTGGCAACCATCACATTCTAGTTGATGCATCGCCTCCAAGTAGATTAGGCACTGACATTTAGAAAGGCCTATCTCTTGCATTAGCGAATATGTTCAGAAGGTACCAGGACACATCATGTAGAACAAATTGTGGATGTGAGTTCGGTTTTTTGGCGGGAAGAATTTCAGCAATCAGATTCCAATCCCCCGTTTTGCTTGATTTGCAGGGGCAAAAAAAAATCAGCATGTAGCAATTTCGGGCCTGCCAGGCAGGTGAGGGTCCCTAGATTTTAACAAAAAGGTGCTACTTTTCCTCCTCCGCCTACTCCTCCGCATCCGCGCCGCTTCTCCTCGCTTTCTTCCGCCAACTTGTCGTCACCATGGACATCAATAGTCCCAGACCTCGCAGCAAGTGCCAGCTCAAGTGAAGAAATAC